AGCGCAGTTTCATTCTTCATTACACATCGTTTGCATCATGGCCTCAGAGATGTTAGTTAAACTGTGTCTTTGTACACTCTTGTTACACTGTAGTTGCAGACGAATTTTGAATGTATTTCAGCTGACTGATTACGAGCATGCGGAGCAAAAAGCGCGTCGTGAACGAAAGAACATCTGGGAATTTGGAGATTTCACCGGAAACGATCTTTAACTTTAGATTTCTATTGTTTCTCTTGATGAGAGCACTCTGCTTACACGCAAAGTTAAGTCCTTCGATCATTTCTCAGTCTTTTGCTTGTGATATTGTTTTTGGTCTTACGAAGCCCAGACTTGCATGGTGGAATGTTACTTTTTTGTATATCGACAGTTGTGCTATTTAATTTATTAAAATAAGGGTCTTATCATGGTTAAGGGCCGTTAAGGCGTTTTAACGTTGGTGGTACTTTCGGGGTTCGTGCGCGGACTCGTACTCGCTCACGGTTCAATAGATATACGCCTGATTCATTTTATATGAGGCATAGCTTGTTGTTTTTGTTCTCTGTTGGATACGCCATGCTGTTTGAGCCTTTTGATATGTATAATTTATAAACACTTGTTTGAACAAGGACAAGTTTTTTTTTTCAATTGAATGATTCGCTGTGAGCTAACTTTTGGAAAAAGGAGGTGAGACAAAATTTGGAAACAGTTTAACATCCTTGTCAAGGCATGAGTTGCGGTCACATCTTTTAGCTAGGGAGATGTGCATAATAATGCCGTGCTGTTTCTATGGATGGAAAGCAGTTGTCTTTTCTTGAAGATGCTTAGAGTACTTATTCTTAATCAGATTCATATGAAGCACAAGTGCCATTTAAGTGGATAGGTGATGTTGATAGGTGCAATGTAGTTTCCTCATGTATTAGGAGGTATTTATACCATATTGAATAAGGACCAGCACTGGGGCATTCATGTGTATAACCTGATTTGGCTGATAACCATAGGTTAGATACATAGAGGCACGGCTGTAGTACCTTCACTAATGAGCGAAGAGAGAGTAGAACCCTCACGTAAGAAGTCAAGAAAAGAAGTCAAGGACTGGGGCGGAGCCTTGGACATCGATTTTACTCGAAGTTTGAAGATCGAATTGTGAAACCAATAGAGCGGAAAAACTTTTATTTAATTTTAACGAAATAAGATCAAGATATCGTAGTACATAAGAGCTGTGGATTTATAAAAAAAATGAAAAGGTGTAGTTTTGAAGGTCCAATATCCATATATCATCCTGCTCAGAATCGTATGGAAAATCCAGCTTACAACAGCGCAACTGCACATATCCCATCATAACGAATTAACTACTCAACGCTAATTGACGTACATGCTCCTATAGTTCAATTTTAAATTATGATAATTATTACTTCCAACAATGCATGGCCTTTTCAACTTCAACTTTTGAAGGCAAAAGTTGAAGTTGAAAAGGCCACAAATTATGAGCAGCAAGTGCTTTTCAAAGTTGATGTGTCTATGAACTTCGAAAGACATGCATTGTTGGAAGTAAATTATCATAATTTAAAATTGAACTATAGGAGCATGTACGTTAATTAGCGTTGAGTAGTTAATTCGTTATGATGGGATATGTGCAGTTGCGCTGTTGTGAGCTGGATTTTCCATACGATTCTGAGCAGGATGATATATGGATATTGGGTGTTTCGTTCCGAGGGAACGAAATAAGATAAACCGTGTTTGTTATCTTCGATTTCTAAGTAAATTTGAAGTTTTTAAGTCCGTTTTTTCACTCATTCGATAGGCAATATCCACAATACAGCTAACTGCGCAACTTTCAGTTTTGAATGTCCAGCGAATCACTTTAAAGGGTGCACCGAAATATCAATATCTTTAGGACCTTCTAGAGATTTATCGCGGCTAGACTATCTCAATATGAGATCATTGCGTTCCTAACGTTGCGGTGTAGAGCGTAGGCAACTGTGCAAACCACAAATCATGAATTTAGGGAGAAAATTCAGAGGAAACATGCAAAAATGACTTTTCTTTTGAAGTCGTTATCTACTTAAATGTAAGAGGAATGATTTTGCTTTCAGTCTCATTCTCGGTGCTTCACTTTATCGTTTGAAATCACTAGCATTATCTCACGTGACCACTCTCGTCATCCCATAAAACTCTTCAAATCTCTCCGCCTTTCCCCCGTTTGCACTTTGTTGCTTCTGAGAAAAATATGCGCAATTAACGCGCGAAAGTTCAAGATTCAAATAACCCTTCCATGATTTAATGGCCTCAAACATGTTGAATCATGTGAGTACTGTTCGCAAGTTTACTTTTATGTTAAAAAAAAA